ATATATTTAAATAGTACATGTGTAGCCGTTTATAATACAAAAAAAAATTTAATATGAAGATACAAGTTGTTGATATACTTTCTGAGTCTTTTTAATACATGCTTGAATAACATTTAATGATAAACCATTCAAAACTTCATCAATAGCATTCTCTAGATCACGTTGTGATTTTGGATTCTTGGTTTTTATTTTCTGTTTGATAATGTTCCAAATTAATTCAACAGCATTAAAATCAGGGCTATAACCTGGTCAATCACATAATTCACTATTATATTGGTCACACCAATGCTTGAATTGAGCACTTCTGTGCCATCTAACACCATCAGAAATATATAAATATCCATTCAATTGTCGTAAATTTGCAGATAAAGCTTCATTAACTGTATCACAATATGTATCACTATTTAACCAATTATCAAATCGATAGAACACGTAACCATCCCACCAAATAAAACCAATTAAATTCACATGTGCTCGTAAAGATGAAATTTCTTTTTTTGGAGTTGGTTCTCCTCGTTTACACCAAACAACCTGTTGTGTATTTCTTAAACCCACATAACATTCGTCTTCAAATATACAATTCTTGATGTTGCCACGATAATGCAATAGAGCAAATTGATATCGTTTTTGTTCATTGATATTGGTGCTTTTTACTTTAATAAGGGACTTACGAGGACGATAACCAAGAGATCGACGATAACGTTGTATTGTACGTTCGGTAGTGTCGAAATGTGTGAGAGATAGTAATTCAGCAGCAGTAGCTGATCGATTTTGTTGTATAATTCGATCAAGCTGTTTGATTTGTGTTGAGTCGAGTGCAGGTAGACGACCAGGACTATGTCCGTAATTTACATCACCATGCAGACAATAATAATTAATAACACGGTATATTGTACTAACATGACAATTGATAAAACTTGCCACTAGTGAGGGATTTATAGAGCCTTTTTTCCACTCACTAATTATATACCACCGTTTCTCTTCACTTATTGTATACATTTTCAATAAAATTAAAGAGCAATGAAATTGGAATAAAACACAAAATAAACGAACATAAATATACAATAACCGACAGTTAAATATTTTATTTAAGCATGTATTAAAAAGACTCAGAAAGTATATCAACAACTTGTATCTTCATATTAAATTTTTTTTTTGTATTATAAACGGCTACACATGTAC